GCATACATGCTGAGCACACATTGCTATACTAATCGTGAAGTGATGGGTTGAAAATCTGATAGCCATCCTATACTTGGCTGCGCGGGGTTGTTTTGTGTAACGTGGAATTGAGAAAGTCATTGTAAAGGATACGTTTTTGAACTAAAATAGAATAACCTTGACTATGACAATCGCAATCATCTCTGACATTTCCGGCATAATCGATTGTCGAAAATGTCTGCTATATAACAATTCTGTTCTTTTAAAATTTTCATAAATAATTCTGCCTAAATGTGCACTGTTTAAATATTCAATTATTAAAATTAATCACAAAAAAATGTTTTCATAAGAAGTTAGACGAGATTAATACTCGAAAAACACTGGGGGAATTTCTTTTTTCTTCTTTCTACTTATCAAATGTACGATTGCCGATATGAGCCTGTTTAAAATAATGGTACACGGCCTCTACCATGTATACCTGTAGTTTTATTTTTTTTTCTTATACATGTACATTTCTCTTAATCTGTACATATACACATGCACATGTATACAAAATATAACGTAATTTTGAAAAAAAAAGACATGTAAAAGATAAAAATATAAACAACGGAAGTAGATAGATTTCGTCACTGTAATTATGGTACATGAAAAAATCTTTAAGTTGTTAAAATGTTTTGTCTATCATTCTTTCATTAATTTTTGCACTTGACATCCGAAACTCCGCAAAGAATACATCTAGAGAAGGTAGACAGCGGCATATAGAAAGCAAATAGAAGGTGGATATATATTTTTTTATTTTTAAAATGATGTACAATATATTCGATTTTTAAAGTCAATAATACGTTCTATCAATATTGCTTTTCATTAGCTATATTTTTTTTCTCTCTTTTTCAACCTAAAGTTGTGTTAGTGTTGAAAGATCAACTGAAAAAAGAATAACTGTTCATAATTTTTTCACATCTTTGAAACCACATATTTAGTAAAGTAATAAAAACTGCCACATGAATAGATGATGCATATGCAACTTCAGTAGATTATATGTAAAATGTCACCAAGTTTTAAGGAGGGAAACTTATGCTTTTTATAGATCAAGACATGGATGCTGAGAAGATGTAGAAATTATTTAACTTATAATTAGGTCAGATTTATGACATGACCGCAATGCTATCCAATAAAAGGATTGATAAACATCTGGAATTCAAGCAGCGGAAGAGTAAACAGTAAATTTATGAGATACAGATCACTTAAATTTTTTTTTCTCGCAACCATCCATTGATAAATTCACTCATTTTCCTTGAAAGCAATGTGTCCGTTTCCCTGTAATATACACTACATGATGAATAGTGAGTTGGGAATTTAAATATTATTGGCCGTATTAATATGGCCGGCGTTCATTTGCCTTGTTCCCTGGCTCATCCATGCCAAAGGTCACAGAGAACACTAAGCAAATTAGGGAAAGGAAACCAAGCTAGATGACCTCTCAGTTTTGTGGACGCAAGTACTTTAAGAATGTTTCAAAAGTGTACTTTTATGGACTATTCGATGCAAAAGAGACTGCTTTGTGTTGGAACTGAACTACAAATTCAAGTCCAAATCTTGAACAAACAAGGTAAATATACACTTTTATATATGTCACGATATATGTATTTTTTAGGCAGAGTATCTGTATTTGAATTCGTTCCTGATCTACAATTCCATAAGGATTTCGAAACTTGGTTGCTTTCATTATTATGTGAAATAACTGAAGCTGAAATGTTAAACTTTAACCAACATTTAGGTTGCAGTAAAACTATCTGCATATGCTATCAGTTACCTCTCTCACTTCCCCTTAAAAAATAATGGACCTAGAGAGCATGAGTAATACATGTACAATACAAATACAATTCTATACTAAGTGCATTTAACTTTTTTGATTATATTATGTAGACCCATATCAGACCCATATCACGAATGAGCATTATTATCAGAAACATGTATAAATGTATGTATGTATATTAGTGTCTGTTGGGGGGGACATAAACAGGAAGACTGTTTTACAGCAGGCACCAGGTCTGCTGATCTACTCTAGTGCGCAATATTAAACTAGTCATATCTGTCATGAAATCATATATAAATGCCTAAGGCTTTGGAAAATTGAAGTTTATGAGACTTAAAATTTTCATCCATAGGTCGACTATGGATTGGTTCAGAATATGGTTGCCAGATTTCCTTTGGAAAATGCGCTCTACAATCTGTCTATTGTATCAGCCAAGAGAAAAGCATAGAGTGGAACTTAGGTCAAAGATAATAAAGGAAGACGATGTTTAAATAAAGAAAGTGTAACGGGACACAAAGAAATTTTATACCTTTAACAGAGAAAGAAAGATCTCAGAGGGTTTTTTTTATGTTTTTTGTATCTTTTTCTATGTTTAGAAGGTTTAATATTATGTTAACTTTAATATTTAGCTTTTCCAGCTTGCATGATATTTAGATAAAGTATCGTTTGTAATATAAAAATAATATATTTTATTAATATTCTTTCATATGAAATTTATCACGAGTCTTTTTGTCATCAAGATGTAATGTATGTTTTTTTCTGTAAACAATATATACAGAATTAGTTTATTTTATGAGAGGAAATTTAACTTGAAAAGTTCTGCTTTTTTTTCAAAAAGTAATATTTGTTTTATTCTGTGAATTACATAAACTGCATCAGTGATATTCTTTGGGGGGGGGGGGATCTACCCCGTAAAGTCTTCCTATCATCGACTTGCAGTGTTTGTTCATGCTTTCAATAATATAAACTGTATTATTGATACTCTTTGGGAGGGAGGGATTTACCACGTACATACTTGCTATTTTCAAAGTTTAATGTTTGCTTTTTCTAAGTATGATGTACGCTGCATCAGTAATATTTTTTAGAGGAAATTTACCCCGTAAATTTTTACTACCTCCAAGATATTGCAAAGCATAAATTCTGTATCACTGATTTTCTTTTGGGGGGAAATTTACCCCATAAAGTCTTGTTTTCTTCAAGATGGGTGTTTTGGCTTTAAAATACTGTATATAAACGTATCAATGTCATTTTTAAGAGGAAAATTACCTTATAGATTGTTGCCATCTTATAGATGTTTGCGAATCAAAAATACTGTATCAGTGATTTTCTTTGGGGGACATTTTTTTTTTGGGGGGGGGGGGATTTACACCGTAAAGTCTTGCTATCTAAACGATGGGTGTTTTTGCTTTTAATTACTGTATATAAATTGTATCAATATCACCTCTGAGAGGAAATTTACCCTGTAGAGTTCTGCGATTTTCAAAGTGTAATGTTCGCTTTTTCTACGTATGAGATAAACTGTATCAATAATATTTTTGAGAGGAAATTTACCCTGTAGATTTTTGTTACCGCCAAGATATTGTGAAGCATAAATTCTGTATCAGTGATATTCTTTGGGGGGGGGGGGGATTTACCCCGTAAAGTCTTGCTATCTAAAAGATGGGTGTTTTTGCTTTGAAATACCGTGTATAAATTGCATCAATGTCATTTTTGAGAGAAAAATTACCCCGTAGATTGTTGCCATCTTATAGATGTTTGCGAATCATAAATACTGTATTAGTGATTTTCTTTTGGGGGAATTTACCCCGTAAAGTGGTGCTGTCATCAAGATTGTTGCTTTTGCTTTCAAACACTGTATAGAACCTGAATCAATGTCATTTTTGAGAGGAAATTTACCCTGTAGAGTTCTGCAATTTTCAAAGTGTAATGTTGGCTTTTATAAGAGTAGTAAATACTGTATCAGTGATATTCTTTGGGGGGGGGGGGAAATTTCCCCTCTAAAATCTTGCTATCTAAAAGATGTGTGTTTTTGCTTTGAAATACCGTATACACTGTATCAATATCATTTTTGAGAGAAAAATTACTCTGTAGAATGTTGCCATCTTCACGATGTTTGCGAATCATAAATACTGTATTAGCAATTTTCTTTGGGGGAAATTTACCCCGTCAAGTCTTGCTATCATCAAGATGTTTGCTTTTGCTTTCAAACACTGTATATAAAGTAAATCAATGTCATTTTTGAGAGGAAATTTACCCTGTAGATTTATGCAATTTTCAAAGTGTAATGTTGCCTTTTAAAAGAGTAGTGAATACTGTATCAGCTAGTGATATTCTTTGGGGGGGGGGGGGGTTTACCCCGTAAAATCTTGCTATCTACAAGATTGGAGTTTTGCTTAGAAGTGCTGTGTATCAACTGTATCAATATCATTTTTAAGAGAAAAATTACTCTGTAGATTGTTACCATCTTATAGATGTTTGCGAATCATAAATACTGTATTAGTGATTTTCTTTGGGGGGAAATTTACCCCGTAAAGTCTTGCTATCATCAAGATGGTTGCTTTTGCTTTCAAAAACTGTACATAAACTGAATCAATGTCATTTTTGAGAGGAAATTTACCCTGTAGAATTCTGCGATTTTCAAAGTGCAATGTTCGCTTTTTATAAGAGTAGTGAATACTGTATCAATGATATTCTTTAAGGGGAAATTTACCCTCTAAAATCTTGCTATCTAAAAGATGGTTGTTTTTGTTTTGAAACTGTAGGTACACTGTTTCAATGTCATTTTTGAGAGGAAATTTACCCTGCAGGTTTTTGCTATCTTTAAGATGTGAATCTGTGATTTTCTTTCGGCGGAAATTTACCCTGTAAAGTCTTGCTAAATTGTCAATAGTTCCTCCAAATATTTACATTTCAGTTTATTTGTGACATTAGATCGTTTTTCCATTAGAAAAATGCTGATTTTTCACAATCTTATGAATAAATATCTTATAATTTTTTTTTTTTGTTAGATTTTGTCAATACCTGAGGGCAAAATGCCTAAAACAGAAAAAAAGATTTTCTGTTTTGATTTTGGAATGCGTTAATAGTTGAGAATGGAAAAGCTGAAGTCATCTCCTTTGTTTTAGATTGTATAAAAATGTAATTGATTTCTAATTACATAAACTAAAAAAAAATGAAAGATTTCACGAGGCATATCAAATTTTAGATACTAGATGTACTTGGGCTCTGCCTCCTAGTTCGCAATCTTGAACCAAAGGTAGAAACATTCACAGACGCAAAAGGGAGACAGAAGTGGGTTTTGATGGTAAACAAATACAGGCCAGTTGTTGAAAGGATTCTTGATCAAGACACATACGGCTCTTCAAAGAACTCCAAGCGTGAAAGTGGAATCCGAGAAGCAAGGTTTAACATGCTTTTACTAGTTCTACATGTATTCCTTCTATGGCTATTTGTTTTCGTTCATCATCCTACGTCGGTCTCAAGCTTCTGCACATTTTCAGTTTATTCTCTGTAACTATCTGCCCAGTTTCACCCAATTTAAAAATATAACATATAAGAGATAGGAGAAATAAAATGATGAATTTTGTGTTCTCTGTCTTGCTAGGACCAAGTGCTGAAGCAAAATCATCACTCTTAATGAAATCTAAAAAACTTCAAAAATCTTCTTTCTTCTACATATTACATGTAAGTTATGAGCCCCTAACAATAATTGTTAAATAAATAGCCTCTGGTTTAGAATTCAGACTCAAAACTTTTAAGTTCCTTATATAGTAAAAATGTTTTATATCATATATATAGTCATATTTTGAAAACGAATTTGAATTGTCTATATTAAAAATAATGACAAGCAGCTGGCCCTCAACAAAAGTATAAATTTTCTGTATCTTGGGACAGTGGATGAGGCTTTAGGATGTTGAAAGTTGGTTATATTTTAAAATTACTATCTTCCTTAGTCCTTTACATCTAACAGACAAACTTCATCAATATGTTAATATGCATAAGGTCTTCAACCAAACAAATGATATGTCTCATAATTCAAGACAAAGCTCCAGGAACATAAAGCTTAGACGAGCTCACTTTTGATCTCAGCCTCACTTTAACTACAGAAATTTACGGTCGAAAAGTGAGACTGAGATCAAAAGTGAGCTAATCTCTAATAAGTGTTATGGCCCCGGAGCATGTTCCAGTTTAGTACGAAGTGGCCAAATTACCTATATACTCATGTGATACTCAAAGCCTGAGATTCTCAAAGGACAATTTGTGTATTGATGTACTTAATGTTTTCAGGTACCAATGGACACGGGCCACTGTTCTTAAATTATTTCTTGAACATGTTTGTTCTACCAATGATTTTCATGCAAAACGGTGCATGATACTTTGGAAGGTATGTACTTTATTTTCCTTTATGTTATTGACCATTTTCTTATCTGATAAACAAAAAGTCTTTACAGTTGTACATGTTAGGATAATGCAGCAGAAAAATGCTGTTGGATTTGCTATCCAAATTTTATTGCATGGCTAGGAAAGGTTCAAGAAAGAAAAATAACTTCTAAATGCAGAACAATCAACAATATGGAATTAGCAGTGTTAATTAGAAAGAGCAAGAACCACTTAGAGCCTCTTTTGGACCTGAGAATTTCGGAAAAATCGAAACTGCTCAGTTTTGGTTGAAAATGCAGTATTTATCACTTGGACCCTTGGTGACCATGTATCTATTGAACATGGCGTAATTTTCTCTCTAGTCAATGTATTATGACGTCATAAAATGCGTCATTTTCGTCATATCCTGTAAATTCCTTTAAAAATGGCCAAAAGTTAAAGTATTTTTTCAATATTTCATATAGAGCACAACCTCTGATCCAAAATATGCAATTACATAAAGAATGATCTGTTTCTTAAGATCATAAAACATGTTTTAATTTTTGGATCGTGGGTTGTGCTCATATTTTAATTCTTTGCTGAAGATAGTCAAATACGCATGTTTTCTGCAAAATTCAAGAACATTGCATTTTCTAATAGACTGATATCCAATACCTGGATTCTCAAAAAGAAATTTTGTTACAGGAAATGAAAGAACAAAATCTCTACTTTATTTTGATATATGGAATGGGACAGAGGGTGATAGTCAATTAATTGATATAAGGACAGGGCCATTTTATGCATAAAGCGAACCTAGCTCTTTGTCACCATGCAAAGTCTACTGTAACTTTTGTGAGAAGCCATGATAAACAAGTATATATTCTATGGTAGATTCCTTTTTATGAAAACTTTATTTGATGTTTATTGACATGTCAGGGTAAAGAATAAATGTTATCCGTCCCTCTAGTCCTCTTTTTTCACAGTTTAGTGTTTTCATTGTTCATCTCTGAAAAATATATGGGTTTAAAACTTCTGGAAAATTTAGTTAGGGTCTAAAATACTAATGTTTTGACATCGCCAGCGTGGCGCAGTGGTTAGAGCGTTTGCTCAAGAGTCGCGGAGTAAGGAGTTGATCCTTACGTCGCGGGTTCGAATCCCACTGTGGGACGTTGAGACCGATCCTTCGGTTGAGTCCGTATAAACCGATTTCCCGTGTCGCAGTAGGTGCTAGCTCGAAAAAGATCCCTCACTGCTCAATGTCCCTGAGTGCCGAGTATAGGTCAAAATTTGCATCTCTCCACCGGCAAATGGTGGCGTCTCCATATGAGTAAAAAATTCTCGAGAGGGACGTTAAACAACAATAAACAAACAGACAAACTAATGTTTTGACACAACATGAAAAGTTATTGTACCAAAAAATTGATGTAAATGGATTTCTTTTTCTTTCAGATGTTGAAAGGTGAAGCAGATATGAAAACCTTCCAATCCCTGGAAAAGATAGAGAAATTTTTGACAATTTGTATGAAAGAAGCTATGAAAAAGGCTTTTGGGTAAAATGATAAAGTAAAATGTTTCATAACTTTGTCTAAATGGATTCTGAAAAAATCTTGAAAAAATTGAGATGGGCTTATGTTATACATGTAGAACCAGCGTTTGTGACCCATGTTCAAGTGTTTGGATTAAGCCTATTCCAAAGTAAGCCATATCTGTAAGAAATATGTATGCAACATGCTTCAACCTGCTTCAGATGATGCATTTAAGCCATCCGTTTTCGAAAAGTAAGCAGATTTTGGAGTATGCCCATTCCAAAGGAACTATGGGTCTTCTTTGTGTCAAACTACATTGATCGAGCTTGTCCACACGTAAATGCCTTTAAGCACACATGGAAAACACCGATTAATCTTTTCGGCGATTAAAATTGTTCCTGATCTCTGAGCAATCTCTGAAAGCCTGAAAATTTCCGTTTTTGTGCATATATTAGGAGGATCATATTGCGTTAAAGCTTGTGTTATGAGAATTAATCGTGTCTCTCTCTACAAATCACAGACTATTTTCCGAACTTTCTCAATGATCTCTCATGCAGTGATCTCGCGCTGACCTCTAATACAGCCCCTCGTAACTTCAGATGGTGTCTCTGTGATGTAAGAATGATATCTCAGAAAAGGCATTTAAATAGTTTGATTGTACTATTTTTAACAGACTTTTTCCTTTGTGCTCGGTCGCCCGCGTGGCACAGTTGTTAGAGCGTTCGTTCTAGAGTCGCGGAGTAAGGAGTTGATCCTTACGTCGTGGGTTCGAATCCCACAGGAACGTGGAAACCGGTTCTTCGGATGAGACCGTATAAACCGAGGTCCCGTGTCGCGTTAGGTGCTGGCACGAAAAAGATCCCTCACCGCTCAATGTCTCTGACTGCCGAGTAATGGTCAAAATTTGCAGCTCTCCCCCGGCAAGTGGTGGCGTCTCCATATGAGTGAAAGATTCTCGAATGGGACGTTAAACAGTAAACAAACAAACAAAACCTTTGCGCTCGTTTAACAGTAGTTTCGAATAGTAGAGTCAAAACTTTGAGGAGACTATGGAGATGTAGATACGGAGATATCAGGGCGATAATTAGGCGACTGCTTAAAGATTGCCAAGAGATTTGGACAACGCTAAGCAGACAGCAATATCTCAACAGTCGCTGCTTCAGTAAAAAAGGGGTTCAGTGCACTATGACCCAATCTAGTCTAAACATATTGATGTGTAAGCATTAAAAGATATGTGTTAATGTATTGCTTTAGATGTTGCAGATGAAATAGATTTAAATTGGAAGGCCTATGATAAGGACTTGCATATAACTAATTGATCTTACTGTTTTATTCATTTGGTATGGTACTATGCCTTTCCTGATAAATTCATGTCATTGAGATGCGTTTTGTTTTTCGTCAATATCTATATCAATTATCTATTTAACCTTCTAGCGATCAAAAGATTTGCAAGTCTTGTGAATCCGAAATAGTCGAGCGACCTATTCAGCTCCCATGTGGTGATGTGATTTGTGTAAGATGTTTTAAGGAGGCACCAATTACAGGAAAAACAGTATGTCCTGTTTGCCATGCCGGATTCCCAGCCGATTTCCAACCACTTGATACAGAAATTTGCAAGTACGTCTTCTAAACAAAGAAATATGCGATGGTTTGCAATAGCAATTTATCCAATTGAACTTTTTAATTGAAAACAATATCCGTAATGAATTTGCCCTGTTATATATTTTGTATACAAGTAATAATTTGAAATTGTAATGAAAAGAAGTCTCCACAACACTCAACACTGTTATACATGAAGGATAATTCAATAAAGAAACTTTAACAAATTACATTATCAACCAATGAAGAATCGTTTTAAGGAAATTAACCCTAAAGAATTTTTCGATCACCACTTCTTGAAATATTAATCATGTTTTCCTGATAGAGAGGAGGTTGACGGAGATGGTTGATTGTCAGTTTGTCTAGTATAAATTGCTATCTTTCGACATATGTGTAGAAAAGAAGTTTAACAAATGTTTGGTGTTCATTTTTACACATGTCTCAAATCTTATTCTGGTCAATATAATGACATTATTAGCGAATACTGGGTCATTGTGGCTAAAATGTTGCATACAAATTACGCCTTTGTTGTTAAACGTTTTATTTTGACTTTGGATTATTCCGGTTACATTATCAATACAGAGGGCTCATGGCAGGTTTGACAGCAGATGCTAACCCCGATAAATCTTCTTTTTTTCAGGCCAGAGATAAAAGAATTTAATTCTTTCAAAAAGTCTTGCAACAGTTTTTACATGGATGTTGTTTCTCAACTATGCTTTTCTGACGATATGGCACCATCACAGGAGGTCATAGAAAAGCTTATGTCGCACATTGCCATTAGTCCAAAAACTGGAAAAGCTCATGAAGTAATGAGCAAGGAAATTTCAATTTTTGACGAAGGAATAGACCCCTCTCCAGTTCTTCGTTCGTTTCTTTTACAACACTTATTGAGAACTAGGTACATTTTAAAAATCAAAATAATATTCACAGAATGATAAATATCAAGTGAATGGACACTTTTTAAGGTGTTAAAATGTATTTATGATAATGTGGTTGTAATGAATTTTTAAGAAAGTGTTATATTTATATAATAATATAAATATATTTATTTAAGGAAATCTTACAAATCATCGTTTATATATATATATATATATATATATATATATATATATATATATATATATATATATATATATATATATATATAAACAGCATGCTACAGTCCAAATTAAATAAATCTTTTCTGTTAGCTCTTTTAGCCTTGTTGGCTCTTCAGACAGTTATGAAAAGTTCAGAACGTTGTCAATAACATTAGCAACGTGATTGACAACGTCTTGAACTTTTCATTACTGTTTGAAGAGCAAACATGGCTGGAAGCGTTTACAGCAAAGATTTTATTTAATTTGGACTTGGCATTCTGTTTTTATTGGTATTTCTTTAAGTATTGTTTCTGTACCAAGACTTTACCTTATCAACTTATACGACGTCAATCAGAGACTTGTTAACGTTAAATTATTATGACGTCACAATAAACGTTGGTAAAAATTTTACTCACTGCGCTTGCGTGTGATTTCATTTAGTTGCAGTAAGTCTTAAAGATGAAAAATAATCCTTAATTTTTCTGTTGTAGTTTCAAAGATGTTGAGACCTATTTGGAAAAATACCTTCTTAACGCACAGAATCTATTTAAGAATAAAGAGAGTAGTCTGTTCGAACTAAGCGTTATGATAATTAATTGCTTTGAGGTAAACTATTAAAACGGTTACATTGTATAGTAATAAATCTCCAATTTCGTTCAACAAACAAAACAGAAGTATTTTGACATGTAAATTTTTCTAACTTATTCAACCTTTTACTTTAATGATTTTTATATATATTTTTGGAATAGGATTCGTTCACACAGGAGTGTTCCAAAACGTCAGATAATAAAAATTCAGAATTGAAAATGGCAGTTCAAATGCTTACAAAAAATGTTCATAGACTGCAAACAGAGCCTTTTGGAATTGCAAAGGTGCTGCTTTTGTCTGAATGCCGTTTTGGGTTAAAAATAGCAGCAGATTGCCTATACAAAATAGAAGTTACAAAGTCAGTCAAAAAAAGTTCCAAGCATGTTCGACGGATTCTAGATGTGACCGAAAAATTCTGTGCAGAGTCTGGACTGATATATCCAAGGTTTGAAAAAAAAACAAAGTGCAGATTTACTAATGTTGTCCTTTATAAGGAAAAGTAACAAGTATTTTTTATACAAAATAGATGAACAAATTCAGAAGCTTGATTTATTTTTCATATCTTTAGAATGCTGTTGCTTTCATAAATCTATTTTAATGTACACTGTTAGACACTATTTTTTTTTCATCTTTACATTTTAGACATTTCATCATTAAGTATCTCTGTCGGTGCTATGGTGTTGAGAGTTTTCAAGCAATTTGTAGCAGCCATGCTCATGATGTTGTTAAGCAGATCGATTTACCTGAACTTCACATGGACGAGGTCAGTATTTTCTGTAATGTTTTTAGAAATAATTTATTCCAGAATTTCGATGTGTGCAAAATAAATAAAGTATGATGTATTTTAGCTGCAAGTAATAATGAAGATAAATTTTATAATATATGATTTTTGAAAACATGTATTTCTCTGTCTTAAAAGTGGATTCATAAAGCTTCAAAGCATTAACTACATTGATAGATGAAAATTGTCATCCTTTTTGTTCTTCACAAGAACAGTTGAATTGATTTTAACTTGTCATTTACATAAATATTGAGCGGTTTCATTATCATGTTGCCAGTATTTGAATCCGTTTATACTACTAATGAAATGAAGAATTTAGCAGTGTAGCATAAAGTGGTTATGCTAATCATAGTGAGATTTCCAGTAATATCAACAACATAATATTTGTAAATGTTTATAAAATTGCAATACTTTTGATCATGCGGTGGTGCCCTATTTAAATTTATAATTAACAAATTTTAAATATTGATAATTATGTTGTCAAGATAAATATTATTGTAATTTCAGGTTATCCAGTGTTTGGACAGATTTATTGTTTGTGGCAGGATTTATCAGGAAGTGAGAGAAGCAATAACCAAGTCCATATTTGGGAAAAATAATTCTCCTTTGAAAAAAGTGCTTGAAGTAAGTTTTGCAAACACAGCCTGGCGTTATTCTCTAACATATTCGAATTTATTTCTTTGAATTATTATGTCAAACTCTATTTTTGTTTTTCATCCAAAGGAAATACAAGAACCGGAACCACAGCAACGAATTGTATTGCTTCTTGCTCTCTTCAAAGAAGTAACAATGTCCAATTTATTTGACCGACAGGATAAACGTAGAATTTCGTTCGAGGTTAGTTTTAAAAAAGAGTTTTAAAATGAAACCTCATCAAGATCGTCATAACTTAAGTATAACAATGACAAAACCATTAAAGCCAGATATAAAATTAAAAAAAGTGTTTAAATAGATTAAGTATAAAAGTCTAACTTCATCAAAGAACAAGGTACGGTTTCAATACAAATCTAGCTTACCCTGTGTTTTTCTTAAAAATAAAAGTGATGTAAAAAATTAAAACTCATGCTTTTTGAATTATTAAAATTCCATGCAGAAAGATCATACAAATCTTTTTTCTCACATGACCTTCCAAATGCTAATTGTGACGTCATAAACTTGTGCATTTTCCCGTATTTTCTGAAAAAGTTGCAGAAGACATCAATTTTCAATGGAATTTTCTCTCAGATAGTATTGTCCACAGGCATCGCCCACAAAGATTTTGAGATATGTGATTTTTCAAAGAATTTTACACAACATATCTAAAAATTAACGTGGGCGACGGCTGTGGACACTATTTTCTTAAGGAAAATAACCCTTGAAATGGGTCATTTTGAGGCTTTTTCTGTTTGAAATAGAGAAATGCATCAAATTAATGATATCATATATCAAGAATGGTACTCCATCATGCTATACTCTTTCCTGATTTATTACAGTCATATACTCAACTAATATTTAAGCCAGTTTCAAAACTTTTTGAAAACCTTAAATTTTCAGGTCACAATAAAGCTAAAACCATACCTTCTTCTTTGACCTTTTGACCACAAAGTTTTGAATTTACCTTGCAAGTTATCGTATAGGCCTTGAATGTAGAGCAAAACAAGCTTAAGGACACATGGTCACATGACTCAGTTTAACATCGTCATACTCTTTGATAATATTTGTCCAAAACCTGATTTAAACCATAAGTACTTGTAAAAATTTTTGACAATTTTTTTAACATCACCATGGTATTTGTCAATATCTCCGAAATAAGGCAAGAAACCTAATGATATGACTACTTTAAAATACGTGGGACATACTTAATTAGCGATATAGAAAATATGAAAAAAAAATTTAATGAAATTTTTTTCAGCTTAAGTTACTTCTTCCCCTGAAATGTTCATCACAGCTTGTTTTAAAAGTCTTCGTAAATTTTATTTTTGCTCAAATATTATACCTTTTTTGAAAATTCTAAACAGTTCTATAATCTTTACCTGTCAAATTTTGATTTGATAACTCGAACAGAATTTCCACGTATTACTAGGAATGTTGTTTATTTGGATTGTATTCTGCATAATGAGATTATGGCCTACCGTAAAACAGAGACAACTTATGTACTTGAATTTATTACATGAAAGTTTGTAGTCAGTACTTGGTCCTTCAATTTCTTATTTTTCTTATTTTTTTTTATTATGTACTAGTGTTAAGATAATTATAATACTAATATGTCCCTAAGCTGGATATTTTCACTACTAATGCCTAAGTTCTTTTTAGGAACTGCATATCACTTTAAGAAAATAATGAAGGGTTTTTGCAATACAGTTATAATTAAAATATTAAATCATAAAATTTCTAGACAGAAATTGGAACATTTTCAAATATTAATTTTTCAAATATGCAATGTTATGTTATATTATGTTCACTTTCGTTGCAGCAAACAAAAAACTTTGTAGAAGGATACCTCTCAGGACATCCCTTGTTCAAGGATCGGGTATATATAATCTTTTTGATTTTTAAGAGAGTATCTCCTCAAAAATCTTAAAAACGAATAATGGTAACAATATACAAGAAAATATGTTTTGCATTTACTATCTTATTTTAGAAAGAAGTTCTTGTTAATGTGTGCAGAAATGTTATTGTTGGTGAATTTCAACTAGAATGGATAGCGAGAGGAATGAACCTACGTCATCAAAATATGATTTGTGTCCTTTTTCATTTCTTCGTAACCCTTTTGGAGATGCCACTGAAAAATACACTCTTTGAACCTTTGGCACAACTGATAATAGATCCAAAATCTATGAAGGTATAGTTTTTCTTTGTTGAAATTTGAATATGCAAACCTTACAAAACACTTATAAATGAGAGAAACATGCACAAATGCTTTACATGCTAAACGTTTCTGATAACCCGAGTTTCTGTTTCAACATATAGTTAATCTTTTTTTTACTGTACTCTGTGTTTTCCTTTGGCAGTGGATATTTGAATATGTGCAGCCTTTTGTATGATAAATGTACTGTTGAACCAATCAGAATTTCATACTCTCTTCTCCTGAAGCATGAAAGATTTTAGCGATGCCATAAATAAATGAAATGTGTTTGTCTAAATGTCTACTAAACAAACCCTGCTCCAGAATTGTGAAGTAACTCGTTTGATTCAGAGTGGAGTCACCATGATAAAATTATTTGATCATTTATCGGTAATGAATTATGCATATGAAAGATGTTGCAGGCAAAATCTTTACACTACGAGCATGAGAAAACTACCCACATTATGAAATTAAACACCTTCGGTAAATCTTCAATATCTAGAATATGGTTAATTTAGATATATTAATAATTCTTCAGGCAAACTGTCACATGATCGTACAGACAAAAAAAGACAGATATTCTAAAAGTTTTTGAAAAGGTTAGAGTATTAAGCCTCAAAGAAGGTTCAATGATCATAAAGCGAAAAAATATTCTTTTTTCAAGTTGCTCTCTCCTGGACATCAGCTTGTTTGCTAACAGTGTACATGACTAAAATCTTACAAACTGTATCGTTCACGACTTCTGTATGCAAGGTCCTGTGTCAAAGTCGTCGTGGATTAGAAATAGTTTATTCATCTAAAGAATATCCTTTATTCCGAAATACCCAGCAGGCAATTATAATTATCGTGTACAAGGCGTCTTAAATAATTGAGTGAAATTCGGTATAAGGATTTAGATCCCCTGGAATACCTTTAACAATAACATGTTTTATGCATAGTTTTGAATCTTCTGGTCATTAAGTCTTGGAGAAAAAAGTTGAGAGGTTGACATCTATAGTAAAAAAGGTCGCTGGTGTGTCAGACAATACTTGCCAGTCAATATATACATGTAATAAAACCAAAGCAAATTATACATGCTATAAAGGCAAACCTAGAGAATGTTTAATAGAACAGTTAATACTGGAGTTTCGGGTTTTAATATAGTTTATTAATTAAAAGCAGTAAGTAAATACTGGAATATCAGGTAACAACATTGTTCTTTTAAAAAAAAAAAGTAATGAAGAATATATCAGTAGACGTTTTTCAAAGAAAAAAAATTGTTTTTAGGATGCGCTTCTGCCAACTATGCCTCAGGATGATACGGAAGACTTCCGTAATATCATTTATGCTGCTAATCTAATTGAGGGACGCCCAGTGCAATATCGTAAGATTACTGATATATACTAATTAATAGGCACTGGTTCAATAGTTTGTATTTACTGAAGTTTGCCGATTTATCAAGTTTCAAGAGAGACATCAAAACAAAGAAGTTTATGAAAGTATCTTGCAGATAAATTTAAAATAAAGTGATCATCAATCAAAATCTTCCAAGATCAGTGGAAAATGCAAATTCAAAATAAAAAATGTAATCATCATCAAGGTACTGAAAAATTACTATTATAACTATGTTCAATAAGCTTTTTTTTCAAGAGACTGAAAACGTTTATTGTTGTTCATTTAAAATAAAATCAAAACCCAATTCAACAGGAATTTGTGCACATTGTTTATTTGTAATATGCTTATTTTGATATAGGATGTCCAAACGGCCATGCCTACTTCATTGGTGATGTAAGTATATATACATTCTTTACAGTTAAAAAATTCCTTAAGCTCACTCTGAAGAACTCGAGATAAGCATATGCTATCTTCCCCGTCATTGGTGTTCCGGGCTAGTGTTGTAGGAACAGGGCCATTTCCAAACAACTTAGAAGCCTTTTATACAGTGTATCTAGACTTAACGTTTTTGATGATGCATTTAAACATGAAGACAACCAAACTTGATTTAATCTTCATTTTGTGGATGAGTGACCAGGTTCAAGCTTTAGTGCGGATATATTTCCAAGTAATTATATATAAGCATTATCTTGACTAACCATGATTCGGATGCTGCATCTGACCTACATTAAGTGTATGATTGACAACACTTACGATTTAGAACGGTTATTCCCAAAGTATCTTTGAGCCGAACATATATAGATAATGAATCAAGGGATGCAAACTGCCCGACTCTCTTCGGAAGCAGCTCTTCACTCTTTCTAGATGAGTGTCCGGGTTAATATCTAAAAGCGGGTTCACCCAAAGAAAAAGATTTTTGGTATTTTTATATGTTTAAGTTTTTAAAAGCAGATAATTATACTATAACGTAACTAAAAGCGTTACCTAGCTCAAATTTGAATTGATTTTTAATTTAAATGTGTATATCACCAGGCCTGATGCTACATCTTTATTTCATAGATGATTGTTTGCAGCGTGTAAAAAAAACAAATGATTAGAAAATAATACATAAACCCCACTTGGATTAAACGATCAAACTTTTATGGGTCTTTCATCTTCAAATATATATCTGTACGGTGCTAAAACTTTTAAATAGCTTCCAACCGTCTTAATTATAGATAAAATTTGTAATTTTTGAATACTGATGTTGTTTTCAAAATATTCTTGTCAAACACACCGGACTGAAATGAATAACTTGGTAAATATTTAAATATAATGTTTAAAATTTAAATGTTTTCCAGTGTGGTCAACCAACGACATTTTCAAAATGCCCAGACTGTGGTCAGAAAGTTGGTGGAGAGAATTACAAACTGCAAGCAAGAAATAAGCTAGACCAAGGGTAAATATTTACTATTGTTTCTGAAAAAAGGAGAGAGGACATTTTATTTATTATTTGTAGCCTTGTTGGTTATGTACGATTATACCTCTACCATCGCTCGGAGAGAAATTTAAATATGATTTATAAAAGGAGGTCCTAAAGACTTTGCATCTGTCAACCTGTCTACGACTTTTACGCAAATAATGATAGGGAACACTACCACACTTTCAACAGAAACCATAGTTGAAAAGACTAATGGATTGAGTTTCAAAAAAGTCGATTAATCTGTAAAGGAAATTAAGATTTGCATATAATTCAGCATAATAAAAAAGTATCTTATTCATTGCACATTGCTAGTACGCTAGGTATAAAAAGGAAGAAAAAAATAATTTTTCCTAAAGCTAGGCTAAGAAAAAAATATAAACATTCAGCAAAGCTCTGTTTCTGTAAATTCAAGAAATTCATTCAAGAAATCTTATCAGACATTATTTTGACTCAAAAAGTGACATAAATTTATATTTACATTTCACATTTATTTTGCAAATAAAGTGTTTTGAAAGCAACGGCATTCAAAACACGATGAAACGGACTGTGTATCAAAAGGGTAAAGTATGCATTTTGACGTCATCAACGTTGAACACTGCACAATTGAAGCGTCATAAGTGAAGGTCAAAGTTCACGCTCACATTAAATAGAAGCTGTTGCAATTGCTCTTCCATTTATTGTTACTTACCCAAAGGATAATACAGGGATTTGAAAGATTTTGAAGAAGTTTCAAAAATGTAAATATAAGCATTGAATCATTATTTTTTGAAAAATGTAGTTTCATAACTGCACCGGTGTGTGCAAACATTTTTTTTATAAAGCGCCATCGCGCGTAACGTTAACTAAATTTGTTTACACACAAAGTTGCAGTTATGAGACTTCATCTTGAAAAAAAAATAACGATTTCATTCTTGAATGTCATTAGATAAACGACTTATATCTGATGATTTGGTTTTTTCCCCAAATATTTCAAGATTTGAATTAAATTATTTGCCACTGAATTTGATTTTTTTAGGGAGGACACGACAGAAAAAGGGCATATATTGGGTGATGCAGACCTAAGGCAGCAGGTTGCCACACCAGAACGAGATTTATCCCCTCTCCAATGTGCTGTACTTAGGCTTTTTACACATATGTCAATGTATCTCGGTGGTTGCAGGCATCCAAAGGTGATTGTTTACTGACTCAAATGTAAAAAAATGAATTCTTACATATTTAGATTATTTGAAATCTTAATTATTATAATTAACGGCAGATGTCATTTATCTGAATTAATTAAATGCAAATAACGTCAATTACATAATTGTAAATCAAGAATGAAAATAGATTATCATAAAAATATGTACCAGAAGAAAAAAAAACAATAAGATACTTGCTAATTGATCAATACTGATGTGGATATATATATTGCATATTTTTACATTTCAGGAGATACAAGCACTTATTAAACCGAATGTTAGTGAGGACAAGGTACTTGAATATATATGGAAACACATGGAGATAGATATTCTCATCCTACAGCAGGCTATTGGGAAGAGTGCAGAAGATGTATATTTATTGCTGCACTGTATTTGCAGAGATTTTGTGACAGAAAAGAAAGGTCCTTTTTACTTTCCTCTATAAATATTTAATTTTTATCTTTAAAATAATTTTGTTTGCCTTTTTTCATTGATAAAATTTCATTTTTTTCAGCTCAAGTGAAAGAGAGAGATGTTTGCCGTTTACAAAACAAAGCTGCTCGGAAGAGATGGGAACAGATGTTTGCAAAATTATTCCTGGAGAATATATTCATGGTAAACGCTGTTTAACATGAAAAGTACATACATCATCATTGCACATTATAGTATGTTAAGTACCAATTTCAACGTGTCGTTTTATGCACCCTTTATTTCAGGATATGGATAATGTCATGGAGTCCTTCAATGAAGAAATAGGGAAAGATGCAAGAATAGGTAAAATGCATTTATTTTTTTTTAACCGTATACGCGGAAATATAGCAAATTGTCCTTAAAGATCAGTATTCTATTTTAGTGAGAAGTAATTTTGCGACTTTATGATGCCTAGAAAGATAACGATAACTAAGAATGCCAAATGAATCCTCAGTGATATTCAGCGATTCAAATAGCCTCGCTGAAAATGCCAAAATTGAATCCTCACTAAAATTTCTGCATATTCAGTGAATAAAATTTTTTATTGCCTCTATTAATCTAATAATGTAAATGTTATCAATAAGATTTTAAACTGTGCAACTGAAGTTAAAAATATGGACAATGTATGTAAATGAAAAATAATTAATATAAAATCATTTACATTGGCACTTTCTTTAAAGTTATTAAACATTACACGAGGATTATGTAATGCAAAACGTTTTGTATGTGAAAAGTTAGAATGACGAATCGATAAAAAGTGGCTGTAAGGAATAAGCTTTTTTGACAAAAACAACTTCTTTTACTTCTATTTAGATTTAACTTTATTTCTGCTATGAATGTTCTATTTGTTTTGATCCTTTTCAAAGCTAAGATTTTTACGTTACCAAACCTGGGTAATTAAAATTTCCCTAAGGGACATAGGTTTCAAATATTGTAAATAGATGATCTTCGTACGTTTGAATAAGACAGAAAAATTATGCAAAATTGTACTAGGTATTTGGTGGAAGAAAGAAATAAAATTATTGTGCCAGGAAATTTTTTTAATCGAAATATACAAAATGTTAAGACCAAATAGCCTCGAAGTCTAATCAAGAAAGCAAAGGTCAAAATGATAGAATAAGCCCATCCATGGACCCTGACTTTGACAGTTTTCTCAAATACATATTTGTATTTCTTTTCTCATAATAACCAAAAACAAAAATTGCAAAATAAATTTATAGGATCGGACCCTTTGACATGTCTCCTGATTGAGGAAGATATTTCTGAGGAGAAAATTGATTTAAATGACCTTCACAACATACCTGTCGTTTGGCGATACAGATCCCAGATAACAATTTCCCATTTGTCTCGTACATTCCTAGCACAGGCACCACAAAATGCTTTCCCAATACTTCGTATCTTCCTAGACGAGGTAAGTTGAATAGAATTAAGTCATTGTATAAAATAAAAGATCATTATATACTTTGTAATTCCTCGTGCTTATCTAGGGCAATAACAAATACATATATTCAGTTTCTAATTTCTCAGTTTTCTATGTTTTATATGTAACATCTAAATAAAAACATATAAAATCCAAATAGTGATATTAAACTGATAAATAATTATCACTCCAGATTATTTACTAAATCTTTCGTGTTTGCCATGCTTTTTTTTAGCCAGAAAAGTAGCAATAAAGGTATTTTGTGAACTATCTCTATTCAGAATAAAAGTATTTTTCTGTTTTTCTTTTAAGGAACATCATCTGAAAGCAATCAGATTGATTCCCAGTATCATTAAGCTTCAAAAGATTTTGATTCAGTTTTTTCAAGATCGTCTTGATAAGACAGATGCTGCACACATGGCAATTGATAAAACGTTAGAGAAAGGTATCGCTATTCAAATCGCTATTTATAAATATAGAAGATTAACATGCTGTCATTATAATTTAGAAACTAAGTCATATATTTTTCCTTCATAGTAAATATATTAATTATATAAATTAATGATGAAAATATTGAATAGCCCATTTGAATGTGTAGTAGCATTTTATACTATTTATACAGAATTAAAAGATCATAATTTGGGCGGATTGGTAAGCGACTTTTTGGAAGCATGGCGATGTGTTAGGGAACATTTAGGAACGTTCAGTAAGTCTTTATGTAAATTAATTTACGTTTTTAATAACATGATGACATGAGTAGGTTTTCATGAAAAAAAAAAACCAAAAAACAATTGCAAACTGTTAGAAGTCATGGAAACCACTTATATTCATTGTTAAGAATCCGTCTCTAAGTTGAACAAGATTGCCTCAAGAAATTGCCTAATTATGTCATCTTCAACAAGACAAAAACCAGAAAATTTTACCTAATTTGTTTACGGTTTATTTATATAATCCTATATAAATTTAAATAAAATACTTTACAATGTCTTCCCATCTGTTTTATTTTTCTAAAGCTTTCCTAACACCAAAAGGAAACCGACAATTACCAATAGAATGCAGCCAGAAAATAATCACTGAAAAAGACTGGATAACATACCTGCTACCAACATTCCAGGATAATGGGCTCTGTTCATATGCCCTTTTATACTTCTTGTTAAAAAAGCAGAATACGTTTTTGATGGAGTATTGTAGGAGAAAAAATTATCAGTGAGTTGCAACATTGCCACTTATTAGCACATAATATCAAAACTATAAATTCAAAATTTTTATACTTCTATGGATCCTTTACAATTTTGCATTATACTCGGGTGACCGTTAAGGCCCCTGGGTCTCTTGTTTTGTAAGTGATAGAGTAGAGCAATCTTTTTCTAGGAAACAAAGCATCACCTCCAAATGTTCCTATGGAAATGTCTAAATATGGAGGAGGTGTAAACTGTGCCATGTTTTCTTGTGGAACAATTTTTCAAATATAATGTTCATGACTTTTGTAATGTCTCAGAAATGAAATTTATACTGTTATAGGTACAAAGACCTACCCAAAGTCCATTTAAAGGATTTGACTACTGCACATCTCATCTGCTTTCATCCTACAAAGGACATATTACCAATGGTTATGGCCAATAGTCAGTACACATTTGAAGTAGAAAAAGGAACAAGAGTACATTACAATTTTGCGGACCTAGAAAGACAGCTCATGGATAGAATTTTATTTTCAAAATCTGTCATCGAAATGCCTCTTTCAGAGGTACTCAAAACTTTCTCAACTCTTAATTTGGAACATGATTTTTAATTTTTTAATTTTTTCTTTAATGAATCTGTTTTGGTATGTCACATGACACTGATTGATTAATTGATTATATGTTGTTTTACGTCCCATTCGAGAATTTTTCACTCATATAGAGACGTCACCATATACCGGTGAAGGGCTTCAAATTTTGACCTTTACTCGGCACTCAGGGCCATTGAGCAGTGAGGGATCTTTATCGTGCCAACGCCTGCCTTGACACGGGGCCTCGGTTTTTAAGGTCTCATCCGAAGGACCCGCAACTTTCACTTCAAAGTGCCGAGCGCATGGCGAAGGAACAGTAGCTACTCATTTTTTATCGACTTAGGTCAGTCGCGGCCGAGATTCGAACTCACGGTCTCCCGATCACGGAGCGAGCGCTCTAATGACTGAGCTACCGTGAACGGTCACACGACACTGAGATCTCCTGAATATTTTTTTCTTGTATCCTCTTTTATTTTTGCATGCATATTTTGCAGTTTCCAATAATGACGTATGCATCTGAAAGAACAAACGCTAGCGTGTTTAGGGATCTACGAAGAAATGTGAAACAGGTATATATATATATATAGAGAGAGAGAGAGAGAGAGAGAGAGAGAGAGAGAGTGGAGGGGTTCATTTCATTGAATACATAACGTTTATAATTGATGAATAAATTAAAATATATTTATCATGCATGCTATCAATTAAATGTAGCTATGCATGTCCTTTTTCAAGCTTTTTGTTTTTTATTACTTTGTTTATAGGAACCTCTGGCACCAGTTGTTGTCCATCAAATTTGTACCGAATTCAAATCGTATCCTGATATTTGCGATGCACTGAAAAAGCTCGATATTGCAATCAGCTTTCTCAAATCGGTTGGAGGAGACATTGAAATGAATCTTGAAAGCTTCATGTCACAGACTCTACAGATTGAAAATCCATTTCCAACACAAAAGGTCCCTGAAAACATTTTTTTAAACTGATAAATGTTATTAATTTAAGTGTTTAGGTAGTAATTCCTCTGCACATTTTTTATTGTAATATTTGTGCCTACATGTATCGAAATTACTGTATTTATCGTAATATTAATATTGGTTTATAAATTTTAAAAAAACCACACTGTTATTTTAACTAGGTAAAAATGAGCTGTCAATGCAAACATGCCCAAGCCCTTTGGATTGCTCTCACATTGACAAAGACGAAGAATCAGTCTTGCTTTCAAGAGGTACGGATGCAGTGGGCTTTCTGTATATGCACATATATTCAATGCTTGTAAAAATATAAGTCCTGATTTATTTAATGCCTGTCTTGACGTTGTACTGGTCAATGACTAGCAGAACTTCTTAAGTACTGGTGATTTGCATTGCTTCTATCCACCTCTCTCTCTCTCTCTGAAGTATGTAAACAACAAAAAAAAGCTAATTCCTATTCACCTTTTGTTATTTTATATTGAATAATGCCTTATGTTGAAAAGGATTATAGAAAGATGTCATGGCCGTCATTATTTTCAGTGTATAAGTTTTTGTGTATATTTCTTTTGGTAGAACCCAGACTTAAGATTTTGAAGGTTTTACTTTTTATATTGAGTTCGATCCAAAACTCTTCATGACCAAGCTAATGCAGTATTAAAAGACAAATCTTTATGAACAACGAAATTGTGAAATTGAATTTCGATGTTTGCATATATTGCTAAGCATGCAAAATATCATTATAAACATTTCAGCGTAGCCTTTTTTCTTGTTGTAGGATACATTTGAAGGCATATCAGGTGATTTTAGAAAAGAGATGGACGAAAAAGAAAGAAAGGCTTTACAAAACATGTGCAAAGACAAAGAAATTTCTCTTGAAAAAATAAATTGCCTTGTTGACATGATGTTTGAGTGCATTTCATTGCAAATAACTATACCAGCTGATGAAGAATTTGATATGGCATCACTAAGGTATGATAAATTAGAACACATTGAGAAAAACTGCGAAATTCGGAGGGAAACGGACAGAAAATACATTTCGCGCATAATATAAAATCATCAAGTATTCAATGGAAAGATACGTGGATCTATTAGATTAGGAGCAATTTGTACATTATTATTATAATTAAGCAATCAAATGAAAAACACGTGTTTACATAAACACAATTTCAAATCCTTTAATTTTTGTCTTTGTAATGTTACAGCTTGAGGGATACTTTGATGGAATACAGTCAGGCCCCGTGCTATGACATACCCCAAAAAGTACAGGATACACCAGATGTGACGGATTTAATCCAGAAAATACCGGCTTCAATTTTGAATACCAAGGCGATAGATGTATGGTTGTGTGTATATACAATTTACACCGAAAAAGACAGACCAAGGCGTTAATAATAACAAAGCTACAAGAATTTATTTGAAGTGATAAGCGAAGCTAATTACATTGATTAATTTAGACATAAATGTCCATATTAACTTTACAATGTATTAAAATAAAATCGAATAGTTATGTATATGTATATGCCATTGACATTTGTATATCTACAAATTCAATTTTGTGTTTTTTTTTTTCTGCTTTAAAATGTGTGTTTCAAAGTTTAAATGCTAAAGATAAAATATTGTTATTATTTAAGTTTATATACATGTTGCCGCCGTGTGATATAGCAAAGATTAATATTATGACATTCTGATATTGATATAGTTTGCTTTATCTAAACATTGTAGAACAAACAATGCAAATCAAAGTACATAATTTTGATGGATCTATTTTTGATTTTAAAGACAATAATATTATATTAAATTATTTTGAATAAAAGTTTACTTATAATTAATACTTTTCATATAATAATCTGCTGTATTGGTAAATAAATTCAGTCTTATGATCTAAAATTATAGTTCTCATACTTATTAATGTATAATTTTATCAAGACTTGTAATAAACATTTCTATTGTATGTATTATGTACATTTACCCAGCAAAGGTGTGCCATAAAATTATAGTACAACACAAATATTTTTGAGCTTGTTCTACTTTTATATGGTTATATATATATATATATATATATATATATATATATATATATATATATATATATATATATATATATATATATATATATATATATATATATATATATATATATATATAGGTTTTGGTTTTTTACTGTGCATCTTTTCAACTCTATTCTTTATTGTTTATGATTAAATGTATATACACAAATTGTATAAAATTATATAAAATACTAGCAAAATTATGTTCACTAGATTGTATTATGTATTTCATTCTTATTAAATCACTGTTACCAACCTAAAAAATGGATTTTTAAATTTACAACACGCTTTTATACAGACCTTAATGTCACTTTTTTCACAAATAATGAATTAGATCTCTTTTTAATAAAAAGTGCAAATCTGAAAAAAACAAAAAACAAAACAAAAACAAGATGTGTTTGTGAAACACTGATGCCCCCGTAAAGCAACTTATAGCAAAGATTAAACTTTCTCAAATGCAAATCAAATATGTTGGTACCCAAAGTAAGGTCTTGTCTCAAGGAATATACCTGTGAAATATGAAAGCCCTAGCAGCAACCATTGAAAAGATATATAGAAAAGGTTAAAGTTTTTCAAATGTAAGTCAAACATCAAGGTCAAATGGTCAAAATTATTGGTGCCTAAGGAAAGGCCTTCTCACAAGAAATATACTGGTGAAATATGAAAGCTGAAGCACCAATCGTTCAAAAGTTATGACCAAGGTTTAAGTTTTTCAAAAGTAGGTCAAACTCCAAGGTCATGGTCAATGGATTTCAATTGTTGGTATACAAAAGAAAGGTCTTGTCACAAGGATTACATATGTGAAGTATGGTAGCCTTAGCACCAACGGTTCAAAAGTTATGGCCAAGGTTAAAGTTTTTCAAAAGTAGGTCAAACTCCAAGGTCAAGGTCAAAGGGTCAAAGTTGTTGGTATCTAAAGGAAGGAGTTCTCGCAAGGATTACACATATGAAGTATGAAAGCCCTAGCACCAATTGTTCAAAAGTTAGGGCCAAGGTTAAAGTTGGATAAAATTTTGCAAAAGTGGGTCAAACTCCAAGGTCAAAAGGTCAAATATGGTGGTACCCAAAGAAAGGTCTTGTCACAAGGAATACACATGTGAAATATGAAAGCCATAGCTCCAACCAGTCAAAAGTTATGGGCAATGTAAAGTTTTTGCGGACAGACAAACAGACAGACAGACAGAGAGACAGACGGACGGACAGGGCAAAAACTATATACCCCCCAATCTTCGATACGGGGGCATAAAAACTTCTACTAAATTTCAATGAAAAAGTGGCGACTTTTGTCTATTCTATGAGAGAAAGAATGGATCGAGAACCGGAGTTTAAGGCCTTTTTCTTACTTTATATTATTATCATCATCATTTATTTGGTATCATGCCATCATACATAAAACAAATATGCCATCATACATAAAACAAATAAACATAACTATACATAATCATACGAAAGACAGTATTTGGGAATCCATACTAAAGGTACTTTATTGTCCCATAAGACATTGTGTTCAAAATGAATAATGCCAGGTTATTAAACTTTTTAAATTCTTTTAAAATGTTTTGTTTTATAAATAGCTTTGTTTTCATAAATACTCCAAGTTAATTGCTCTTCAGTTAACAAATACTGTAAAAATTTATTCAAGCAACATTTTTTTGTTATAAAATGCACAGTACCAGGTGAATACACCAAAAAAAGGGTTCTGGAAAGAGCTATATGCGGTATATGCATATATATCGACGTGATATACACCTTTTTCTCTATAAATCATGAAAAATTTGAATTTACGTCACTTTCCTGACGTCATATCTAACATATGGCTTATGAAAATATTTAAGCTTTTAAGTATGCAGATATCCCAATGGTTTAGAACGTAATTATAGATTTCTCCGTCAAAGTTTAATTTAAGGGGGAAAAATTGGTCATTACCGAATATAGTCCTTTGAAAAAAAGTGAAATTTTCCTTAAAAAGATCTTACTCCTATTAAATTATTGTTGATGTTTCAATTAAAACGAACTATATTTTGTTTAAAATCAAACAAAAAATTTCAAGATATGGAAAAGAAATTATTTTCCAGATTGATTGATTGATTGTATTTGTTTTCAATCCATCAAAGAATTTTTGATTCATACAGAATCGTCACTACTAACGGGTGAAAGACTTAATATTTTGATAACAAATTATGTTTTTTTAAAATGCATTCTCAACCATTGCTGAAATAATTATTTCAATAAAGGTTGATATTTAAATCATGGTAAATAAAGACCTACTATTGAGCGCACTTCGGAACCGAATCCTATTTGTAGCATCTTCTTTTTTCTGCTTCAAAAACGAACTCGAAAATTTTGGTGCACAGAAAAATTGAAAACTTGTTTGGTATTGCTGCCTCGAGGGTTTCAGATCCAGGAGGGATTTTTTACCCTCAAAATTGATGGTAATTCAAAAACTGGTAATAAAATTTCAAGAAAGCGTAAACGCACACTTTCAGCTTTTTTGTTAAAAATACATGTATTTCTCGTCAAGCCAGGAACCCTATTTTTGCTTACAACCGACCTAAATTATGATTTTTGTGACTGTGATAGTGAACAGAATTGATTATTATTTTTTTTTTTTAAAATGTTAATTTTTTTTCCAGGAAGGGGTTTTTCGATGAGGCTAGACTCAATGCCAAACAAAAAATAATTTTTTTTGGGCTTAAAAGTAATTCGGATATAAAGGAAACTCGGTTATAAAGATGAACTTTAAACTCCTTCTTTACAGGATTGCCTACAAAGGCAACGCTTGGTTCCGACGTGAGAAGAAGCTGAATACCTGAACCTCAGGTTTATGCGGTTGTACCAACTGTTTTTGCACCTTCTCACGAACAGTCTGTGAACAGTAAAAATAAGACCATGAAGGACATTGCAGTACAGACAGTACCAACTAAATACAACAGAGTTGAAAAGACTGTTACAACTAAAACGGATGATGGTTCAATTAGAGTTAGTCGTGTCGTAGAGGAGGAAGTTGTAATTAAACTGTAATAGAAACAATTTTTTCCTTAAGGGTATAGATAATACTCACATTTGTTTCTGAGATAACTAGTTGTTTTATTGTACATTTTTCTAATTTGATTTACTCACTGGTATAGAGAGAATACCTTTGAGTAGCATATCAGATTATTGTACATTGATACGTTATAAAAACTTTTGACATAATTGAGATGTTTTGAGATAAATGCCAAAATTTGTTTTTGAGTTAGAATTAGTATTAAGAGTTTAGTTAAGTAGCTTAATAGAGATTATTAGAATTTAGAAATGCGGGAAGCATTCCTCTTTGGAGGGGGTAGTGTAATGTAAATGGTGTTACTAAATTTGAATTTGGCGCCCTTAGTTGGCTTCCGCTGTGAGGGTATATAAACATCATCCTCCATGTGCAACAAAAGTTTATAAGTAAGCGACAGTTTCCAATAAGAGAACGTGGATCAAGTATCCTTACTCTCGCGGGGACAGCATATATATATATATATATATATATATATATATATATATATATATATATATATATATATATATATATATATATATATATATATATATATATATATATATATATATATATATATATATATATATATATATATATATATATATATAAGGATGCATGGTTATTTGGATGGTCGCAACGAGTATCTATTTATTTACAAACCTTTTGTTATCTCTATTAAAAACTGAGTATTGATTCTGGGTTATGGGATACGCAAAGGTCTTGGGGGGGGGGGGGTCTCATTTTAAGCAAATTTTCAATTTTAAAGCACATTTTGTTTTAAAAGACACAGAACACAAGCTTGCCCACCCAGGAAATTAAATATTTCATGCACTAATATCAATTGCATCTTGTGTTAAAAAAATCACAGATAGGCAAGTTTGTGCTCTGTGTTTCCAGAGGTGAAAAGTTTCTCAAAATTGACGAAATTCTATGAAAATTAAGGAAATTTGGTAAAATGTCTTACTTTAGCACCCTCTTTTGCTTTGAATCAAAATTACTGCTGGATTTAAAATAAAAATCATATTAAGTTCTGCACTGCGATTTCAAATGTGTTTTGATTTCTTTATCAAATGAAAGGCAATATTCTGTCATCACCATACCTTGCCCTTTCATTTTCCTTAAAAGTTATTTCTCACAACTGAATGCTTATGTAAATTACTTTGCACAATTTCCATACACATTCACATGATCTATCGATTAGTTAATATTACAATGCACACGATCTCTTGCAAATTTTTAAAAACCTTTGCTGGCCATCAAAATTGGTAGATATCCAAATTTTGATTTCAAGTATAGTCTTCTTTAAGGACGTACTATGGAAGCGTATTGGTGCCACGTGCTTGGACACTTTCTGATTTTTCATTTCCACACTTTAATCTGTAAATTTTATACATTAATCTGTAAAAAATTTCACTTTAATCTGTATATTTTACACTTTAATCTG